GACTTATATACCGCTTCATAGGGCTTTCAGCCCTCTCTAAGCGGTTTACAGAGTCAGCATATTGCCCCCAACAACAATCCGGGTCCTCATTTTACCCACCTCGGAAGGATGGAAGGCTGAGTCAACCCTGAGCCGGTGAGATTTGAACCGCCGAACTGCAGAACTGCAGTCAGCTGAAGTGGCGTGCAGTACTGCACCCTAACCACTGCACCACCTCGGCTCAAAGGCCAGGGTTAGGGTTAGGGGTGGATTCCGGCAGGCACTATTGCTGGTTCGCTCGTGTGCGTGCTTTATGTGTGCTGCACGGACATGCACAATGCAATAAAAATTGTTCTGTGCAGGCACAGAAGCGCAAAACAATAGCAATAGCAAAAGCAGTTCGACTTATATACCGCTTCATAGGGCTTTCAGCCCTCTCTAAGCGGTTTACAGAGTCAGCATATTGCCCCCAACAACAATCCGGGTCCTCATTTTACCCACCTCGGAAGGATGGAAGGCTGAGTCAACCCTGAGCCGGTGAGATTTGAACCGCCGAACTGCAGAACTGCAGTCAGCTGAAGTAGCCTGCAGTGCTGCATTTAACCACTGCGCCACCTCGGCTCTCGGCCTTCAAATTCAAGGAACAACGGATGGAAACTAACCAAGGAGAGAAGCAACCTAGAACTAAGGAGAAATTTCCTGTCAGTAAGAACAACCAATTAGCCTCCGGAAGTTGTGAGTGCTCCATCACTGCACGCTTTTAAGAAGAGAATGGACGTCCATTTGTTTGAAATGGTGTAGGGTCTCCTGCTTGAGCAGGGGGTTGGACTAGAAGACCTCCAAGGTCCCTTCCAACTCTGATGATGATGAAACTTCTCCTGAATCTAGCCAAACCTATAATTCTAGGACTAAGAAGGTTTCTGTGAAAGAACTGGATTCTCCAAGGAAGACTTGGAAAAACTATCCTGAGAATAATTTCATAACTGATAGTTGTTGATCATTGATCGTTCTAGGTTAAGCAAGGAAGAGCTCTCCTTAAACTGGAAGCGTCTCCAACTAAAACTGTTGATCAGGATAGAGGGACTTGCTCTCCAGCTTGGGGGGTGGGGTAGAGAGAGAGAGAGAGAGAGAGAGAGAGAGAGAGAGAGAGAGAGAGATTGATTGATTGAGATTCTCCTAACATTAGCATTTGCAAGGAAGATCCTGCCTGCATCCAGGTAAAACCGCTCTAAAGAAACCAGAGGCTTCCCCTGCGTCTCTCTGGGGAAACCCAATGATCGTCTCCAAACTGGATGCAGAGGGTGTTTTTTTTTAATTAAAAAAAAAGATACCACTAGAAGAAAGAATTTGGCCCAAACTGTACATGGCCAAGGGATCTACTTGTTGACAACCAATCTTCTACCTGCGCACAACAACACCTTTTGCCTTTTCGGCAATGGTCAAATGACACAGCAGAAGTGTCTATCCTTAGGGGATGAATTTTACCCAGACCAGATCAAAAACTGCAGTTTAAAAGTAAAACAAGAAAAACAAAAAACTGCCCAGCTTCCAAATCTCAGTTTCTCATAAACCAGTTTATTCCCTAATCCCTTTCCCTTTCCATCCTGTCTGAAATCAGGACCTTTCCTTCCCCCAACTCAAGCATCACGTATCTGGCCCCGATCTCTCTCAAACATAAACACTCTCCTTGTGAGGTCTACTTTTGTTGTGGATTCGAGAGCAGCCTTAAAAAAACACACAATTTAAAAAATGATTATTTGCCCCCCTCTCCCCCTCCATCCTAGTTTCTCTCTTTCTCTCTGCTAGTATCTTTTCTCTCTGTTTCTCTCTCTCTCTCCTAGTCTCTCTCTTTCTTCCTCTCTGCTAGTATCTTTTTTCTCTCTCTCTCCTAGTCTCTTTCTTTCTCTCTGCTAGTATCTTTTCTCTCTCTCTCTCTCTTTCTTTTTCTCTCTGCTAGTATCTTCTCTCTCTCTCTCTCTCCTAGTCTCTCTTTCTTCCTCTCTGCTAGTATCTTTTCTCTCTCTCTCTCCTAGTCTCTTTCTTTCTCTCTGCTAGTATCTTTTCTCTCTCTCTCTCTCTTTCTTTTTCTCTCTGTTAGTATCTTTTCTCTCTCCTAGTCAATCTCTCACTCACTCTCCCCTAGTCTCCCTTTCTTTCTCTCTGCTTGTATCTTTTCTCTCCCTTTCCCCCCTCTCCCCCAAGAGAAAGGGTTGTTTTCTCTTGGATACCAACCACTATAGCAACAACTCTGCTATTTAAGGGGGGGGGGGGTACGCCCAAAATAAGGCTGAGCAAAGAAGGGTAGAGAGTTCCAGTCTGTCTTTCTGCTCTCTGCGTATGCTCCTCACCGCTGGGAACTTGTTGAAACAGGGCTTGGCTTTTTTTGTGTGTGTGTGTGTTGAAAATCGAGGCCCGATGAACTTTTAGCAACAATTTGATCCCGGGGTTGAGATTGCTAAAAAAAACAAAAACCTCGAGAGGGTCTCCGGGATGCAATCAAATAAGGTAGGGATAGAGGAAAGAAAGAAATAGAATTTTAAGCTTGCAAAACATGGGTTGAGGAGGGAGCTAGGATTGATCTAAAGGATGCTAATAAACACACAAATACACAATCAGAGAGAAAGGGAGAGAGAGAGAGAAAAAGGGAGAGAGAGAGAGTGAGATAGAGAGAGAGAGAAAGAAAGGGAGAGAGAGAGAGAAAGGGAGAGAGAGAGGGGGGGAGAGAGAAAGAGAGAAAGGGGGAGAAGAGAAAGGGAGAGAGAGAGATAGAGAAAGAGAGAGAAAGGGAGAGAGAGAGGGGGAGAGAGAGAGAGAGAGAGAGAGAGAGAGAGCTTTCTCGACCTCCCTTCCCTTTGAAAGTAGAAAAACTGTACTTACGGCGAGCCCCAAACTCCGCTACACACCTGGGAAGTAAGGAAACCAGCG